ACTCAAACATATTATTAAAAGGTAATATTGAACTTTTCAATGTCTGGCAATGTACAAAGAACTCCAGCTTCAGAAATGGGCCCAATTAATATTAAGTCTGTGAAAGAAAAGACTTGGTATCCTCATTAAAATGAAAAAAACCCTCATTTTGGAGAGTAAGAAATACATTTTGTAGGTAAAGTCTCCTCAGTAGCATTATAGGCAATCACATTTTCTTTTACTTAGTGACATGTCCAAACTGAGAAGATTATTATCTGTTCCTGCTTGGCTGCAGGTATCCATTGCTGCTCATCAGCATGCCCTTTCCCCCAGGACAGAAGCAGTCTCTTCTCCTCGTTTTCTCAGAGGGAAAATATTTTCACATTTAAACTGGAGAATACGCCTCTAACCATCCTCCTAGGTCTCTTCCCTTTTCCATGTGCCATGTAGAACATGAGCATAATTACTGGCCTATAGTATAAGGAAAAACAAAAGGAGGAAAACGAAATATCACTATTTTGTATTGAGCTGTATGGACTGCTGGAGGACAAACATGAAAACCGAAGCAGAAATAAATAACTGTCCATATGTAGGAGTCACTTGATTTACAGTGTAACCTGTATGCTATTCAGCCAAACTCTAGCTCAAGGTGCTGTCCTTTGTATTGGTCCAGTAAGCAAACCAAATATTTCTTCCTCTGACAGATAGTTAATGTCCCTTTTTCTGAACAGTTTTGTATATACAGTCAACTTCACTTGTAGCATTTTCTTTTGCTGTTGTGGTTGTTAAGAACAGTGCCTGTCTGATGAAAATTATCCCAGCCACTGGGAGAGATGGCAATGTCAGACATTATTTGGAGTGCTGGGAATCCAAGTCTCTGTGTAATGACTTCCTCTTCAAAGACACAAAATCTATTTTATTACAGCAAGAATTAAAATACGTATTAAAACCAAACATAAAAGTAATGTGTCATGCCAAAGGTCTTTTGTAATTTTTTAAAATCTAAAATGCGAGGTTTAAAACTGCCATATCAAGATAATTGCATAGCCATGCACAGAAAACAAATGTGGACACTGAGAACATCTCAACACTGCTATATCTTTCTAACCAGAACCCTTCCCATTAACTGCCCCTCTCTGCTTTATATAGACAATTTGATCACAGCAGCCTATATCAATACTTAAATAGTTTTAGAAAAACCTTTATGTTCAAGGCACTGAATTAGACTCAGTGCTTCCCTTAAAGGCAGCTTCCTTTTAAGAACATGGTTTTATCCTATATATTTCATCTTTGTAAAGCACAAGTTCTTTTCACTTATAATGTAGAGGATGAATCTTCTCTTTGAAATCCCTTTAGAAAACTCTTCTTCCACCGTTTATAGCTAATAATTTCGATAGTTTGATTTCCATTATTTTATTTTTACTTTCTTCCACCCAAGTGCCTCCCCATAGGCAGCTGTGAAAATTCATCTTTGTCAAATTGCCTTTTAACCTTCTCATATATTTAATATATCAATTTATAATTTTAATCCATTTTGATAATGACTCTTTTAATGGGCTTTGTGTTCTGTTAGTAATCAAAAAAATAAACAAACTAAAAATGTTTAGCATTTAAACAATAGATATCAGTGGAATCACATAATTATTTTTACCATAGTCATAAGCCTGGAACATACTAGGTACTCAATAAATGTTTGTTGATGAATGAAAAACCTCCAATTAAGTATTTTGAAATAGACTTTATAATTTTCAACCTTGAAAAATGTGCCCCAAACCATAAATAATTAAATTTAACCTGTTTCCCCATGTGTCTTCATTTTTTTAAATTAAAATTTATTTTTTTAGAGCAGTTTTAGGTTCACAGCAAAAGTGAACGAAAGGAGAGAGTTCCCGTACAAGTATAATTCCTGTCTCTAGAGAGGCACAGTCTCCCGTACTGTCAACATCCCCTACCAGAAAGGTACATTTATTACAGTTGATGAGCCTGCACTGACAGACACATCATTATCACCCAAAGTCCATAGTTTACATTAGGGTTCACTCTTTGTTGTACATTCTGTGGGTTTTTACAAATGGACAATGATGTTTACCCACCATTGTAGTATCTTACAGAATAGTTTCACCACCCTAAAAATCCTCTGTGCTCTTCCTATTCATCCCTCCCTCTCCACTAACCACTGACAACCACTAATCTTTTTACTTTCTCCACAGTTTTGCCTTTTCCAGAATGTTACATAGTTAGAAATATATAGTGTGTAGCCTTTTCAGATCGACTTCTTTTACGTAGTACTATGCATTTAAGTTTCCTTCATGTTTTTTCATGACCTGGTAACTAATTTCTTTTTAGCACTGAATAATATTCCATTGTCTGGATGTACCACAGTTTATCCATCCATTCACCTACTAAAGGACATCTTGGTTGCTCCCAAGTTTTGGCAATTATGAATAAAGTCACTATAAACATTTCTGTGCAGGTTTTTGTGTAGACATAAATTTTCAGTTTATTTGGGTAAATGCCAAGGAGCACGATTGCTGGATCATATGGTAAGAGTGTGTTTAATTTTGTAAAAAACTGTCAAACTGCTTGCTTTTGCTTTGGATTTAATTTGATTTGTTCTTGTTTTACTAGTTTCTAAGGTAAAAACTTAGATTACTGATTTTAGGTCTTTCTTCATTTTTAACATATGCATTCAGTGCTAATAATAATTGCATGGTTTCGAAGAGAAGTCAGATGTATTGTTTATATTTGCCCCTCTATAGGGAAGGAGATTTTTCCTCTAGCTTCTTTCAAGATTTTTTCTTGATTTTGATTTTCTGAACTTTGATATGCCTAGGTGTAGGTTTTTGGGGGCATTTATTCTGCTTGGTGTTCTCTGAGCCTCCTGGATCTGTGGTTTGGTGTCTGACATTAATTTAGGGAAATTCTGAGTCATTATTACTTCAAATTTTAATTCTGTTTTTCTCTCCTTTTCCCCGTATTCTCATTATACATGTTTACACCTTTTGTAGTTGTCCCACAGTTCTTGAATATTCTGTTATGTGGGTTTTTTAAGTCTTTTTTCTCTTTGCTTTTCTTATGGACTAAATGTTTATGTTCCCCAAAATTCATATGTTGAGACCTAATCACCAATGTGATGCTATTAGGAAGTGGGTCCTTTGGGAGATACTTAGGTCATGAGGATGGAGCCCTCACTAATGGGATTAGTGTCCTTATAAAAGAGGCCCCAGAGAGCTGCCTTACCCATGTGAGGATGCAGCTAGAATGCTGCATCTATGAATGGGAGAAGGCCCTCACCAGACACTGAAACTACTGGCACCTTGATCTTTTACTTCCCAGCTTCCAGAACTGTGAGAAATAAATTTCCGTTGTTTACAAGCTACCCAGTTTATGGTATTTTGTTATAGAAGCCCAAATGGACTAAGACAGATTTTTATTTTTAGAAGTTTATATTCTCATATCCTCAAGCTCAGAGATTTCTTTCCTCAGTCATGTCCAGTCTACTTATGAGTCCATCACAGGCATTCTTCATTTCTATTAGTGTTTTTGATTTCTAGTATTTCTTTTTGATTCTTTCCTAGAATTTCCATCTCTATGCTTTTATTATCCATTTATTCTTACATATTGTCTACTTTTTCCATTAAAGCCCTTTGCATATTAATCATCGTGTTTTGGTTTTTTTTTAATTCCAAGTCTGATAATTCCAACATTCCTGCCATATCTGAGCCTGGTTCTGATGGTTCTGATGTTTTCTCTGTCTCCTCAAACTGTGTTTTTTGACATTTAGTATGCCTTGTAAATTTTTGTTAGAATTCAGACATGATGTATTGGGTGAAAAGTATTCCAGTAAATAGCCCTTTATTTGTGTGGTGGAAAGGTTTGGGGGATGGAGAAGTATGTAGTTCTCTAGTTCTCTAGTCTTTTGGTGAGCCTGTGCCTCTGGACTGTGAACTAAACCAGTGCTTCTCAGGTGGGATAGGATGGCTGGAAGGGTGTGGAGTTGGGTATTTTCCATACTCCACGTTTGTTAGGCTCTTCTACACCCCAGCAGGTTAGCCTCTGCTAAAATAGTTTTCCTGAGGGCAGACCTTGATAAAAAGAACAGAACATTCTGCCATTCCAACTTTCAAAATAGTTCCTATTCCCCCTCCCCTGCCAGAAGCATAAGAGGTTTTTCCCTCTGATATTCACTGTGAGGACCTGGTAGATCTCCTGGAGATAAAACTCACAAAAGTGTGGGGACTCCCCTCTGACTGGGTCTCCCTGAAGTTTTTAATTCACAGAACTTGTCCACACTGAGCTTCCAACAATTCTTCAATTACAGTTTAGTTTTTTCTACCCTGGCACTGCTTCCCTCAGAGGTTTCTGCTCATGGGTTTCTGGCCTGGTAAATTGTGATTCTCTATATTCTCCTGTCTGTATCTCCAATTTGGGAGGGCAGTGGTTTGCCCTGTGACCTCACTTCTCTGATGATATAAAAAGAGTTGTTGACTTTCTTTAGTTTGTTCAGCTTTTTATTTGCCGTTATGACAGAGTGGCAACTTTAAGCTCCTTACATGCTGGACCAGAAACCAGAAAGCTTGCGTCTTAGTTTTTACATTAACCTTTCCTCTGTAGAACCAGTCAATGCTACATTCATTCAAAACATCTGTCAGCAAAATTATTGTGTAAGCAGTTGTCAGTTTGAGCCAATTAGTCCTATATTTTATTATTACAGGGCTGTTATCATTTTCTGCATTTCAAATAAAAGTGACCTATATTACCTGGAAATACCTTAGTTGTATTTGGGATGGAGAATATGAATCATAATGAGGACTTTTGTGTGTTGGAATCCTGGCTCCTTGACAAAAATGGACCTGTGTGCACTCGTGTCCATCTCTCGCTGCCATGGCCAACTCAGACCTAAAGTTCTCAACAAGAGGCTCTTTATACATGTTAATTTAAAATACCAAGTTTTCATGATTCTCTGGTGAACCACAAAGGAATATGGACATGTGGTTTAATATTTTACATTGATTATTTAGCCTTAGTATCACAGGCAGAAGCTCTGAAGGAAGAAAATGACAGCCTCCGTTGGCAGCTTGATGCCTATCGGAATGAGGTAGAACTGCTCAAGCAAGAACAAGGCAAAGCCCACAGAGATGATGACCCAAATAAGGAACAGCAGCTGAAACTCCTGCAACAAGCCCTGCAAGGAATGCAACAGGTAAAGGCATTTTGGTTTTCTGAGCTTTCTGGAAAGATAGCATCAGCTCCTCGCCTGTATTAGGGTCCCCTGTAAGCAAATAGAATATCAAACCTGTTATTCTTCTTGATGTTATATTTTCTGGTACAGGTAAAAAGGGATTATGTGTTGTGGCTAATGAAATATTCTGGTTAATATATAGTATATTAGTCCGTTTTTGTTGCTTATAACAAAGTACACTGAACTGGGTGATTTATAAAGAAAATGAAATTTATTACTTACAATTTCTGAGGCTGGGAAATCCAAAGTCCATCTGGTGGTTGTGACAGTGACCCAGGGGTCTCACATTGCAAGATGGTGGAAGCAGAGAGAGCAGAGAGAGAGACAGACTCTCTTCTTTTAAAGCCCTCAGAACCACAACCCTAACCACCATTTTTAATCCATTCACTACAGTGCAGTCCTACAATCCAATCACCTCTTCAAGGCTCCACCTTTTAATTACCATAAAAGGATTTCCCACCCTCTCAACAGTCACAGTGTAAGCTAAGTTTATAATATATAAAACTTGGGGGACACAAGGAAGAGTTTCAGGGAGTTTCGGGGGGGACATAATTCAATCCAGTACATTCCACCCCTGGCCCCCAAAACTCATGTCTTTATACATGCAAATATATTCATTTCATCCCCATAGTCTTAACTTGTTTCAACTCAAAAGTCCAAAGTTCAAAGTCTCATCTGTGAAATTAATACAAGTTATCTACTTCCAAGATACAATGGTGGGACAAACATAGGGTACATATTCCCATTCCAAAAGGGAGAGATAGGCCAAAAGAAAGGTATAACAGGTCCCAAACAAGTCCAAAACCCAGCAGGGCAGTCATTAAATCTCAAAGCTGGTGAATCATGTACCTTGACTCCATGTTCCACCTCCTCTGCACACCGGTATGGGGGTTGGGTCCCCAGATCCTCAGGCAGCTCTGCTCCTACAGCTTTCCTGGTCTCGGGCCACACTTCACCTCTTCCAGGCTGGTATTCCACTCTGGTAGCTCCACAAGTCTGGGGTTTCCATGGCAGTCCCGCTCCCACGACTCCACTAGGCATGGGACTGTTGGGGTTTCTCTGCTGTAACTCCGACCCCACATTTCTGCTCGGCATTGCTCTAGTGAAGGTTGTCTGCAGTGACTGCCTCTGTGACAGATCTCTTCCTGAGCCCCCAGACTTTTCCATATATCCTTTGAAATTAGGGTGGAGGCTCCCAAACCTCTACAGCTCTGGCATTCTGTGAACCTAAAGACTTCACACCGTGTGTATGCTGCCAAGGCTTCCAGCTTGTATCTTCCAAAGCTGTGGGTCCAGACACACCTTGGACCAATTTAGCTACAGCTGGAGCAGCCAAAGCAGCTGGGGTGCTGGTGCTGGAAGCAGCTTCCCAAGGTGGTCCTGAGCAGCAAGCCTGTGGAGGGCGCCTCAGGACTTTTCTCCAAGACCGTTTTGTCTCCCTAGGTCTTTGGGCCTGAAATGAAGGATTGGCCCCAGAGTCTTCTGCAATACCTTCAGGGCCCTTTTCCCCTTCTCTTTATTTTTTTTAAAAAAGATGACCGGTAAGGGGATCTTAACCCTTGACTTGGTGTTGTCAGCACCACGCTCAGCCAGTGAGCGAACCGGCCATCCCTATGTGGGATCCGAACCCGGGGCCTTGGTGCTATCAGCACCCACTCTCCCGAGTGAGCCACGGGCCGGCCCTCCCCTTCTCTTGATAATCCCTTTTCTTTGTACTAATCTTAGCTAATGGTCACTCGGCTGCAACATTGCATGCTCTCTGCTTCTCTACCACATGGCCAGGCTGCAAATTTTCTAAATGTTTACACTCTGCTTCCCTTTTGAATTCTGGCTTTATGTCATGCCTTTGCCACCATAACTCAGTGTAGGCTGTTACAAGTAGCTATGTAGCTTCCTTAATGCTTTGCTGCTTAGAAATTTCTTCGGCCAAGTGCTCTGGTTCACAACTCCTACGTTCCAACTTCCACAAAGTCCTAGGGCATGGATACAATGCAGCCAAGTTACTTGCCAGTTCACAGCAAGGGTGATCTTTGCCCCAGTTTCCAATAAACTTCTGATTTCTATCTGAGATCTCCTTAGAATGGTCTTTACAGTCCATATTTCTATCAGCATTCTGCTTGCCACCACGTAACCAGTCTCTAAGACATTCCAAACTTTCCCTCATCTTTTTGTCTTCTCAGTCCTCCAAACTCCTCCAACCTTTACCTAACACCCAGTTCCAAATCTGCTTCCACATTTTCAAGTATTTGTTATAAGCAACACCCCACTTCTCTGGTACCAATTTTCTGTATTAGTCCATTTTTGTTGCTTATTAAAAAATACATGGAACTGGGTAATTTATAAAGAAAAATGACATTTATTGCTTACAGTTTCTGAGGCTGGGAAATCCAAAGTCCATCTGGGTGGTGGTGACAGTGACCCAGGGGCCTCACATTGCAAAGTGGTGGAAGCAGAAGAGAACAAAGAGAGAGAGAGAAAGACAGACTCTCCTCTTCTTTTAAAGCCCTCAGAACCACACCCCTGACCACTACTGTATGGTCCTACAATCCAATCACCTCTTCAAGGCTCTACCTTTCAATTACCATAATTGGATTTCCCACCCTCTTAACAATCACAGTGGGGGCTAGGTTTCTAATACATAAAACTTGGGGGACACAATTCAGGTTTCATGAAGTTTGGGGGGACATAATTCAATCCACTACACATAGATAGCAGTGGATCACCAATTTTCAAAGAATGAGCATTCAGTGAAAAATATTTAACATTAAAACTACACTGAACAAAATCTAATCTTTATGCTTCAGAAGGTACTTCAGGATGTACACAGGGCCTTGAGATCTTTATGAAGATCTTCAATTATTTAGATATGAAAAGTGCTGACGAGTAAGTATCAGTTGATAGAACACCAAGTAATACAGCCTTTTAGAAGGAATAGCAGGAATCCGACCCATGATTTAGGCAGACGTAGGGATGTTATAAGTTTTTAAGTATCAGTGCTTTGGGCACATAATACCAATCTGTTCTTATTTTGGTTTTTTGTTTGTTTTCACAGTCATTTATGCAAATAGGTTTACCTGCACATAATTCCAAGTATAAAGAGTAAAGTAAATAAGTACATCCACCTCCAATTGCATTCTGATACGACATTGTATAATAGATGCTCACATCTAGAAGTTTTATGTTACCATCACCACAGTGAGCCTACAATTTTAAAGATACCAACACCTGCTTTCACTATAGGAAAGGAAAAGTGCTTCTGAATAAGGGTACTCTCCTCTTCTGTCGTGCCAGAGTACCAACCATTTCCTTACAACTTAAATTGTGCAATAATTTTTTACCTCTATGCCTTGGAATTATCTAGGCCAAAGCTAATTGTTGGTTGGAAATTACAAATTATGAACAGGGAAGCTCTTCTGGTACTAGAAGCCCAATGTTATTACTTCTGCCACCATTGTCTTCCTTTGTGACAAGTAATATCACATTAATGTTTCACCTTTCCTATTAGCAAAATGTGTGAAGTAATGCTTACCTTCCTCTTACCGTCACCATGGAGTTGAATTAGAACATATAAATTATATCAGAGATCTTCCTGTCAAAAAATGCATCTCCTCAGCTTCAAAGAATATTGGTAATACACATTGTGCCATTGCCCTTCTAATGGTCTTTTGCAAGCTTTTGAAAAGCAAGACTTTTGAAACACTTTTGTTGTTATTTTTCCCTTACCTTGATTTTCAAACCATTCCACAGAAGGATAATTGTGCTACTTAAATGCAATTCAAGAATGATGAATTTTTTTTTTTCCCTTTTTGTCTTTTTTCGTGTCCGGCAATGGATCGCAACCCTCAGTGTCGCGCCCGCACCGGACCAGGACCGGGAACGGGATCGCAACCCTCGGTGCTGCACCCGCACCTCGCTCAGCCAGTGAGCGGGAACCGGTCTGTATGTGGGATCCGAACCCTCAGCAGGAGCGCCGCCGCACTCCCAAGCGGCGCACTGTAGCAGTGCGCCACCGGGCCGGCCCATGAATTTTTTTTTCATTTCATCATTTCAGAGACCTCAGTGAGAATTAGATCTCTACCTCCTAAAAAATGAAATTGTACTCATTTTAATTACTTTATATTGGAAAAATAGCCTTGTAAACAATGATAAAATTTCTCCCATCTTATCCCAAAAGATATACGAGGGTACTTCCAAAAGTTCACGGAAAGATTCATATTATCTTTTAGTGAACTTTTGGAAGTACCCTCATGTAATATAATATGGTCGTTAAGAACTCTGGGGTTGACCTTAAGTGTGTGTGATGAGAATGGCACTTTGTTTATGTGGTCTTTCTCCAAAAAAATATTACATCTATCTAATCATGATTAAACACAACAGCAAGACCTAACTTGAGGGACATTCTACAAAACACCTCACCAGTGTCCTTAAAACTGTCAAAATGATCACAAATAAGGAAAATCTGAGACATCATGCCAGTCTAGAGTAGCCTAAGAAAACATGAAAACTAACTGAAATATTATATTCTGGATGGAGTCCTAGAACAGAAAAGAGACATTTGGTAAAAACTAAGAAAATTGAAATAAAGTATGGACTTTAGATAATAGTAATAATGTATCAATACTGGTGTGACAAATGTACCATTGTAATGATAACAATAGGGAAACCTGTGTATAAGGAAACCTGTGTATAAGGTATATGGGAAATGTCTTTAATGTTCTTGCAATTTTTCTGTAACTGTAAAATAATTCTAAAATAAAAAGCTTATTTAATGGCAAAGAAAAAAAAAGAAAGAAAAGAAAAGAACTCTGGGGCTGAACTGACCTGGTTTATAATCCCAACTCTTGTCACTTATTATCTGAATGGCCTTAGGGAAGTCACTTAACCTCTCTAAGCCTCAGGAATAATAGTATCATAGGGTTATTATGAGGCCTCAATGAGATCATGCATAGAAGACTCAGCACAATTCTTAGCACATATTAGGCATTCAATAAGTAGTATTTGGTGTAATTAATAATAATGATAAATCCAGCTCCATGCCTATTTATATGGAAACTAACATATATGAACTTTGGATCACTTACTACTTTCCTCACAGAAATTGAACTTGGCTTGGCTATTTGCAAGAATGTTTTACTTCATTAAGTTCACTTCTGTGCAGCAATTGAAATATATATGCAGCAACTGAGATATTTCCCACACAATATTAACTGCACCTTACCCTTACTTTTGGCCAGAATAGGGAAGAAGTTAAGTGACTGGATCAATTAGTTTATCAGGCCCTTTCTAAAATATGAACAAGTTTAAAGGAAGTTCATAAAACCAGATAAAATAACTAACTGAAAAGTATCTTGATTTTCCCATTCTCTACATGGAAAAATGATTCTGTGTACTGGGGGAAAGTGAGGCAGGCCTGCCTGATATCTAACTTCAGCCAAAGATTTTAAATGAATTGTGGTTCCTTAAATAGTGACTTAATTGTCTTTGGTCTTCATTGCAGCATCTACTCAAAGTCCAAGAGGAATACAAAAGGAAAGAAGCTGAACTTGAAAAAATCAAAGATGACAAGTTGCAGGTGGAAAAAATGTTGGAAAATCTTAAAGAAAAGGTACATGAGTCCTAAGTAAACCTTTTCCCTTGCCCCCCCCCCTTTCAGTGATAATGAAAATTCCCTGGAAGTTACTGTGATAGGAATTCATGTAGAATGTTTGGTTGATTGGGGATTAAAAGCCCTTCTCCAAGGTAATTCTTATATTAAGGGTTCTGCTTTTGGGTATGAGTCATTGACATTTCCAAGGGTTCTGGAGAGTATACTTTTCAATGAATATGAAGTCAGTCCATCCCTAGAATTCCTCAGTCTTCTCTCTTGGAGAAGACCAGAGTGCACACCTCTTCCCTGCTTCCCTAGTCCAGCAAATCTCAATGTAGAAAACTCGTGTGACACAAAGTACCTTTAATCGAACATTTCACTAAAGGAAGAAACACAAGTGCAACTAGAACACTGACATTTCTTTGCAGACACTCCATCCAGTGTAATAATGAGCAGCTGCAGGTGAGAGTAATAGCCAACACCAAAAGGAGGGAAACCTTGGAAAGAAACAGAGAGAAACACTATTCTAAAGTTAGATAATAGCAATAGGAAAGGCAAGATGAGACTATCAAGTGAGAGCTTGCAGCAATAAAAACTACCTGTGAGGACCTCTGAGAGAGTCTGCTAACATCTGGACAAATTAGTGTATCACAACCATGAATCAGGTGCCCAATCTCTTTAAAGTTTATAGAGTCTACTGATGGGTGTCTCCTTGTCATACCTCTCCAGTCTCTTGATGCCTGAACATCTAGCTGAAGTTATCCTCTGAAAAGAAAGGCCCATTGACCAAAACTGCCTGACTTTAATGTCTCAGAAGGAAGAGAAGATTAGGAGGTGGGACCAAGAGTCAGAAATCAACAACGATACAGTTCCTCAAGAGCTCATGCTCTTTATCTTCTTTGCTCAGCTTAGAAAAATGCAGTGCATTCAGGCCCTGGGTGTTTACCAGCACAGTGACTTCCCCCAGAGTGCTATGAAGAACTGGCAACCTTGGTATAGTTGAAACAAATGATTGAAAGTGTTTTCTTCTGGAGGCCATTTACAATATGCTTTTAATTCTTCTACTTCATAAAACCAACTCACTTTCCAGTTTTGCGGGTACTGTTAAAGAAATGAGCACAATCCCAGAGAAAGTCATTTATCAAGGATTTAATTGAGAAGTGCCAAAGCTGCTCTACTTATCAGGACTTTTGTTCATACTATCAGAGCTTCTAAAATGTCCCAGAGCTGCTACATATTGCTTCCTGCATAAAATGGAGTGTGTGTAGCCAGAAGACTATAGATAGACATGGGGTTATGCTAATGACACTGTGCTCAGAATCATTCTTTAGAATTGACATCACAAATTGACTTAAGGATATTTTTAGTGTAAGCGGCTTTCTGCTTTGTAAAGTATTTAATTTAAAGAAGCAAGAGGTCAAATAGCATAGAAGAAACTGGCCATGTTGTGCCTAAGGATAAGTAATTCCCATTCTGGAATTGAATATACCACAGAGTGGTAGCTAAAGAGGACAGAGAGAGAGATCCAACTGATAATCAAAAAACCAAGTGAGTCAGAATGTTTTTTCCTGTTATTTTAAGCAAAGCTTCTTTTAGAGAAATTCATGACAGTTTATTATAAACTGATCTTCTCTGGGAAGCTGATTTGTTACCAAATATTTCAACCTGACACAATTAGGTTAGGAAGCAAAGTACCATCACATTAGACTGCAAAAATAATTTCAGGTTGAAAGGAAAGTAATAAGTTTTGGTGAGGAGGGATCTTCTTTGTTTGTTTTTGTTTGGGTTTCTTGACAGTGAGCCACAGTGTGAGTTATTGTCAGTGTTGTGCAATATAACAGTGTGACTTATGTCTGTCTTACTGTGAAAAGAACTAGCTCTTTGAATCTGCTAGTAAAATTCAAGGTGATAAGCATCACCTCAATATACATTGTAATTTTTTTTTTTTTTAATGCTAGCTGTAATAAAATTGAAGTCAGGTTTTAGTAAGGGTACAGTTCTATTCAAGATGGCTAAAACTTCTCAGGATATATTCACATCTTAAATCAACCCCAATCTGTTAAACTCTCACACTTAAGAAATGGCTTACTGGATCATTTAATGTTTTAAGATGTGAAGCCTGTGGCTTAGAAGTGAGCAAGTAGTTTAAATCAAACTTGGCATAATGGTTACTGCCTGAATTGGATTCTAAAGGCCAAAGATTGAGCAGGTCATCAAGAAAGGGTTCCCCTCCTACTACAGCCAGGAAGCCTATAAATCCACAAAACAACATGTCTTGTACCATAGACCATTCATCTCACTCAGAGACAGCATCCTGGAAGATTTGAAGACATCTTTAAAGAAAACAGAAGGAATCCTGTCCCTGCTGAGAGTTTGTGGAAGGGAAGAAGTGATAAAGCATCTGAGTCAACCACGATCTGCTCCACAAGAAGCATTTCCCCAGCATTTTCTTTTACAGCAGTAGAAGACTGAAGTAGTGATTTCTTTTATTCCTTCCTCTTAAGGCTCTTTCTTCACATTTATAATACAGAAAAGATATTCTCAGTACCCAAAGAGAAAGAAAAGTCCGTGAAAGGTCTGGAGGTATTTTTCAGTTTGATGCTGGTCATGGATTTCTCCTGAGTATCCTTATGAAACCTGCCTGCTGACCTCAGAAAGAGAAAAAATTACAGTGACAAAGGCCACTAACTAATGATATTTTTGGTCATGGTCATTTCTTGCTGTAAAGTCAGGAATATTCTAACTGACAATGTCCTTATCAGAGAGAAAAGAGAGAGTGAGAGTTGTTAATCAATAGATAAAAGTTCTAATTTTTACTTCAAAAGCCAACCTGTGAGTGGATTGGCTACAATGCAGATTCTCCATTCAGAGATGGGACTTACCGTTATCGGGATGTGGACTTTAAAAAAAAAAGGAAAGGTCCTTTTAACAGTGGTTAATATGGAATGAAATCCCAGCTGCAAGACTTCCTAGCAATGGGATCTTAGCCAATTTACCTAATTTATCTGAGCCTCACTTTCTTCTCTGTAGAATGGAGATTATATATATATCTAACAGTTCCTGTCATCTAGTTAGGAGACAATAAATGTTGGGTCTGGTCCCCCAGATTATTTGTATAGAGTCAAGAATGATGAAGGCAGAAAAAAAACTGGTGAAGATAAATGTTTAAATTTTTCTGTGCTTGAAGCCATATAAAGAAGCTTTGGATTATCTGTGATCCTTTTGTAACTTATGCTATTTCCCCTCCCATTGAATAATCTAAATTTGACAGTACTGCTTGTATGGTCCTGTGTTAAGAAGTTACCTGCTGTGTGGTTAATTGAGATCAGCTCTATTGCCAAATAAGGTGAACTGACCCAGGAAGCATGTTATTCCCACAGGAAAGCTGTGCTTCTAGACTGTGTGCATCAAACCAGGAAAGTGACTACCCACTTGAGAAGACCATGAACAGCAGTCCGATCAAATCTGAACGTGAAGCACTGCTAGTGGGTAAGGAAACTAACACACACACACAACACATAGGATATGATGGAGAAGGGGAGGGGTTTACCTAAGATTAATAAGCACACGCCAAGCATTTATGAAGCATGACAGTGCAAGAACCCATAGTCCCGAAGACAGTGGGGTAAGAACAAGTACAAATTGCTATAAAAATTCTAACTGCAGCTCCCAGCCCTCATCAGGCTCTTTGTCACGTTAAGTGTGTCAGTACAAGCACTATGCTAAGAGGGGGTCAGCTGGAGAAACACACTGTAGATTTTCTAAAATCTCTATGCAAGGATAGCTAAGCCCTCTCACATCCACTCAGGGGGCAAGTGCAGACCCTGTTTGACAAAGAGCTTTTTCAGATGAGCCTTTGGAGCAAGTGTATGCCTCTTGAGTTTTTCCAGGTTACTGGCTGAGCTATTGTTACTCATGATACTTCTGACACCAAATAAGAGATTTGTTTTACCTCCTGACACCAAATATGTAGTACATTTCCCAACACCACTTCTCCAACTCTGAAACACCAACTGGGTGTCTTACGATTCAATTCAATTCAGTTCTGACACTACCCAAAGTTACTATCAGACTACACAAGTTTAAGGGCTCAATTCCACACGACTGCCCTGACTTTAGATGCCAGTCTCAAATATCAGGTCTCCAAGTTACCCACACTTCTGTCCTATGTGGCTGCAAAATCAGGTGTTCCCATGATCCTTCCCCCAAGTTTGATAATTTGCTGGAATAACTCACAGAACTAAGGAAAGTGCTTTACTTACTATTACCAGTTTTTTATAAAGGATACAAGTCAGGAACAGCCAAATGAAAGAGATGCATAGGACAAGGTACTGAGAGAAAGTACGTGGAGCTTCTATATCCTTTCTGGGTGGGCCATCCTCCCAGCATCTCAATGTTTTCACCAACCAGGAAGGGATTTTTATGGAGGTTTCATTACATAGGCATGATTGTTTAAGTCAGGTCATTCAGGATTAACTCAATATCCAGCCCCTCTTCCCTCCTGGATTTCTGGGGAATGAGTCTGAAAGTCCCAAACCTCTCTTTCTGGATGCCAGCCCCCATCCTGAAGCTATCAAGCTATTATGGGGCCTCTAGCCACCAATCATCTCATTAGCATACAAAAAGACATTCTTATTTCTCCAGAGATTCTAAGACTTTTAGGAGCTATGTGCCAGGAACCAGGGACAAAGACCCAATTTTTTTTTTATATCACATTGCTGATGACTCAGGAGGTTGTCTGTTGTGTGTTGGACACTGGTGGACTCTGACGAGATCAGTGCTAGAATTGCTCTCTCTATATAAAAGTTTATTCAGAGAGGCAAGATATCACAAATGGTTAAAGAATCAGATAGACCTGGCTTCCCATCTTGACCCCAGCATTTCTTTTCTGAGCTTCGGATCCTGCATCTGCAAAATGGGCATAATAATAACACCTACCTCAAAGGGACAATTGTATTTATTAAAATAATTCACTTTAATCACATAGCACAGTGCCTGGTCCAGAGTAAACCCTTAGTGAGTGGAAACCATTTCACACTTACAGCACTAGTCACAAATGCTTGTTAACTTTATATTCCACTTGGAGAACAGTAGCAGATTGAGGTTCTAAAATATTCAATCATTTGGAGAGGCTAGTCTTGGGCCACAGTACATAATCCCAGCTGCCTTCTAGGAAGCTGAGCCACACAGTAGCCCCAACCCAGTCTGAAAAGCCCTCCACACTGACTGGCTTCTGCCTATTTGTAAAATATATTTGCCTCCTTTGGTAATGGATATTATACTCAGATTTAACACTTTGATATGTTAATAAAGATGCACAGGGGGATATGCCATTGAGTCTTCAAGAAAAGTGACAACTTATTAACGTTTTCCAACTGAAACTTCTTAACAAATTGGCATGGCAACAGGGAGACCTGTCAGAGAAGTGCTGGGGGTTGAAGGAAGCCTCTGTAAGTCTTAGAAAAAAATGGTTCTTAAAATAAATGTTTCTTGTTTTGTTTTTTTTTAAGAAGGTAGTCTTAGGCGGACAGAGAAAAAGAAAAATGTTTTATAAATCAGTTCTTTGGGTGCGAACTCACAAAAACTGTTTAGTGTTTTTAAACCTCTGGAGTTATTTCTTGGCATTTGATAGCCTTTCTTGGCTTTGGCATCTAGAATTTCTGTGAACATGGACTGTCTTCTTCAGAATTTAAGTTTCTCAGCTAGAATCAGTGCTTAGAAATGTCATTTACCTAATCACTTAAGAACAAAATAGTGTTATAAGTAATAGCATCCCTTTGGGACAGATGTTGAGTCCCACCATCTGTTCCTTCTAAACTGCCCACCCCCACCCCCTTGCTATCTAATATTTGGAAGATTCTCACAAAGAACTGATTGAACTTTGAGGTACAATTTAAACTTGTGCTATTTTTTTGTCACTCTCTTAAAGGGACAGAAAAGTTGTAGTTTATAAACCAAATTAAATTTTACTTTTATTTCCTGGCAGTTTTCAGCAAAACTCAATTCTGGGTCTATTTGAAGTACCTTAGATCTTATAAAGGAGGTGAATCCAAAATAATTAAGAAAACAAAATAGTGCACTTGTGGTCAATTTATTTCCCACCTTTTGCCAGAGAAAGAAGTATTAGAACAATTAACCTGATGGCCAGAACAATCAAGGCAGTTACATGCAGCTGCCAGTCACCCCAGAGTTAGGCTGAGCAGAAATCGCATGTGTTCCTGGAGGCTGTAAACTGCTATAAGAGTTCCGTAACACAAAATGGTTTGAGGCTCTAAGCACAAAATGCTAGTGACCACTTGAATCAGCTGTGAATGGAATGTTTGGCTTTTCTTTACAGAGCTACTTACAAAATAAAACCCTAATACAATCAGCAAGTTCTCTTGTGAGAGGCACTAGGTTAATCAGGCAAAGTATATGATTTGTACATTTGCCATAACAGCAAGACATTATTAATGCCTAAGAGGCAGAAGTCTAATTTAAAGACCATGCAAAGGAACTGCAGAAAAACCAGCACTATCTAAACTCATTGTAAAATTCTAGAGTTTGGATGGTCTTTAGCCATCACAAATGATAGAAGTGATCCTCAAATGCCAGGTTTTCTACATGCGGGGCAGTAGGTGTAGTGGTTAAAAGCAACTGTCTGGGTTCAAATGCACTGCTGTGACCTTGGGCAAGTTGCTTAAACTTTCCATGCCTCAGTATCCTCATCTGTGAAATGGGGATGGCAATACCTACTCACAGTGTTGTTACAAAAATTAAATGTGTAAAATATAGGTAAACTTAGGACAGTGCCCAGTATATTTATGCTGTGCATATTCACTGTCATGTGAAAGCTCAAGGAATACAGTGCTCAAGGATAACCTGCATGGTCTTGTCTCGCAGGGATTATCTCCACATTCCTTCATGTTCACCCATTTGGAGCAAGCATTGAATACATCTGTTCCTACTTGCATCGTCTTGATAATAAGGTATGTGGGGGCCTGTAACAGGGATGTAGGAGGATGTAGGGTTCTTTGTGAACCTGTGACCTTACTCTCCTCAGGCATAAATATATCATTAGTTATTGCTCTAAGGCAAGGTTTCCCTCACCTGCTCTCTCACTGCAATTCGGTGTAGAGTTTCCCTCTTGCCAAGTAGGATGACCATTTGTCCCAGTTTATGCAGGACTGAAGGGTTTCCTGGGACTTGAGACTTTGAGTGCTAAAACTGGGGAAGTCTCAGACAAACTTGAACAAGTTGGTCACCCTACATTCAAGATACATCTGAGAAGAATTTTTCTCCCTTCTTCTTAAGCTGCAAATTAACCAGCAAATTAACCAGTATCAGCTTTCTCACCCTTCAAACTTTTGTCCTGGGCCTTTAGCCATTAGCAAATGCTAATTTTCAGACCTGGAAGTCTTACTCTAATCATGTCTCCCATCATCACTACTGCCATTTTCAACTGCAAGACAATCCAGGCAAGGACAAAAAAAAAGATGGAACAATGAGCTGAGGGGCTCTGTAACACAGACTGAATATTTGCTCACAACTATCTCATGGGTCATTTCCTTCCCTGGGTGCTATCCTTTGGGGAACTCACAGAACACCTGGAGCAAGGGTAAGTGCTCATTCCTGAGGAAGTCAAGGATGCCTCTTAGAAGCTGGAGGGGTCTCTTGACTCCTCAGAATGAATAAGCTCATGATACATTTTTCCAGAAGCGCCGTTCAGTTAAACCTGCTCATGGATTGTATTCACTATTTCACAGGACCTGGGCCTTTTGAGAAGTGCCATTGAATACAGATTTCTGACAGTCGGATGTCCAAAATGTTAAGCCATTTAACCATATGTCCTCTTAAAGGCACTGACCCATTTGGGAATCTTATTGCTCTGACCATATTCCAGCTGTGGTGATACATCCTCCTCAATGGCATTTATTTTAGTCCTAGCTAGCACTCCCCCCTCATTTCCCTCTTGGAAATGATGCTATTCTGCAATTATATAGCCCATTTGGCAGTGAAGGGGAGGATGGAATGTGTATACCAGGACCCAGTGGTCCATTGCAATGGTATGAAATTGAACTATGTGTCAACAAAAATTATCTAGTTCTTTTTTAATTTACAAAAAATAATACGTACACATTGTCTTAATGTAAGCAATGTAGAATCATAGTAAAGAGAAAGTGAAAGTTTCCCACAATCCTACCCCTCAAGAATAATGATTGTTAACAATTTGGTAAATATTTCAGGCCCTTTTCTATACATATGCTGTACCTGTATTATATGTATATATCTATAAACATTATTTGTGTTTCTTGAAATGGGGATTCTACTCTACATGATACCCTGCAATGTGCTCCTTTCACTTAAGTGGGTACAGTCTACCAGCAGCACTGGGAAGAAGGCATGACTTCACTTCTAACCTAGGCCCAGTTCCTCCTTAGCAGCTTCCTGCCAGAGTAGTGCCAGGGCCTTCCGAAGAGAGCCTGCATTGGTACCAGCAGGTTTGGGGGTTCCCTCCCTCCAGCTTCAGGAACATTCAGTGTGACAGCAACTCTGGGTTTCTTCAGGAATCCCCAGGTGCTGTTCAGCCAAGCCCTGCTGCCCAAGTTCACAGTTAGGAAGATTGCACTACTAATGTAAAGATGACCACCTAAAACAAGCCCTAAAGGAGTCCACAGGTTTGTCTTTTGTTTTTGTGTTGCAGGGTGTGTGTGTGTGTGTGTGTGTGTGTGTGTGTGTGTGTGTGTGTGTGTGTGTGTGTGAAGCGGGGAGAAAGACAATGCACACAGGAACACAGAGCATTCTGCATTTTTGTTACTACTCCTTTGTGAACTAATGTGTGAGTGTGAAGAAGTCTGCTCTGATGGCAGCTATATCTGCCTCCCTCCACTCCCAAAAGATTAGGAAGCCTCAGTGGGCCTGCACACAGCATCATCGGCTCTGGGCAGCCGTCATTCTGCTGGCCACAAACCCAAGCCTCTCCACCTGACCAACACCAGCTCTTTCCAATAAGCAGGCTCAGTGGACTCTGGTGGTCACAGCAGAGGAATGCTGCTGTCTGGAAGCCATTCTACCAACATGCACAAATGTATAAGGAGGGGGAGGAGGTTAACCCCCCAACACACACACACACACACACACACACACACACATATCAGCATTCTAAAATAGCAGCAGATTAGGAAAGTAGAACTGGTTTTAAATGGAGATGTCCTCTCATCCCACAGATATGCACCAGTGATGTGGAATGTCTCATGAGTAGACTCCAGCATACCTTCAAGCAGGAAATGACCGGAGTTGGAGCCAGCCTGGAAAAAAGATGGAAATTCTGTGGTTTTGAGGGTTTGAAACTCACCTGAATCTCTTTGCCTGACAACCTGGGATCCTGAAAATAAGTGTGTGTTGGACAAGTTTGAAAAGTGATTTGTGTTTTCAATGGTTTTCAAGTGGGAATTACTTTGAATTTGTCAACTCATTTCTGGAATATCTTTTGAGTTAAAATAAGGATCCTAGAACAGCACCTCAAGCTACAGGCCCTAAAGAGAAATTGCCTCAAACCTCAAGTGCTGTAATGTCCTCCCCTTTCTGTCAATTGGTTGTCTTTTCTTAGTAGCAGTATTGAAAGAGTCTTGAGGCTAAAGAGTGTTGGAGTGTTCTCAGTGTCTGTACTACTGTTGTAGACTTTGGTATTTTTTAAAACACTGTTAACTGAAATGTTTTGATGACTTCTATGTGATTTGTGTTTCCAAACTTCTCTTCACATTAATGTTGCTACTGGTGAAAGGAATGAGAGGAACGCCAGGTACTCTGTGTAGCTGCCGTTGTCTTTCCAATCCTCAGTAGACCAGTAAATGAATCACACATCAGCATCTTCTAGAAGGTGCTTCATGTTCACCCTTTAAATAACAAAGCATGGTTTGTGGCTTTTTGCAAAATTACTATGAACCAAAAGTTGACAAATGTTCTAAAGCTATTTTCTCTAATATATCAGATAAAAGGTCTATTTCAGAATTTTTAAAAATAAATCTAGATGAATCTGCAGAAAGCGAGTATCCAGTATGATTGGCATGTGTTCGTGCTATTCAGAATCACTTGTAAATAGTCTGCTTTTAAAGGAGGGCATGTTTAGTTTTCTATGGATCAAAACACGCTCACACATGGGTGCACACTCACACACATGTACACACATTAGCAGAAGGGGGTGATTTTATTATCCTTTTCCCTCTGGCCTTCTTACAGTCTGTTGGTCCCTCTTCTGCTGCTGTCAGTGTGTTGAATTGCAAACCGTGTATTGCTGTAAATACTATGTTTTACTTCATGCTGAATGTTTGCAAAGAGTTGATATGAGTATTAATAGTAATGAGTTAATTAATAATGAGCCAGGGTATATGAGGCTTCCTGCAATTAGGTCAGCTGCACCTGGAGTTCTGACTGCCAGGGCCACCTCCAGTTCTGCGGTGCCCAACAGCAGATCGCAATGGCAGAGTGTGAGTGGACCAGTCAAGATGTTCTGCTTGGTGGAAAAGAAAAGGAAAGGATGGAGGTTTGGGGCTAATATAGTGAGGCAGAGATGGTCTCTATTTTGTGGAGGTGGTGGTGGTGCTTATAATAACACAAGCATGCCCTCCCTTGAGTCTCGATTAAACAGGATGTACTGAGTAAGGAAAGCCAATGGAAAGTATTTCACAAAAATACTTTGTAAATGAGATGTCATTAGTGTTCAAAGTTGTATTTTTCAAAGATAAATATTCCTTTTTTTATACCTCAGTTTTGTGTTCTGTTTTGAATAACTTGCTCTCTAAGTAATCCTTTAGTAGATTATCTTGATTTCTTCCTTTGGGTTACCAGGGTGTGGAAGAAGATGCTAAGCCTGCCTTGACAACTACAAATAGGGTCCCACAGCCGCCTATTCAAGCCAAAAATTAGCTTCCCCCTCAAGCATGCTGTTGTGGCAGCAGCAGGAAGCTAGGGCTGTTTTTACACGAGTTTCCTCACTGAAGCATCTCTGTCATCAATGCTACGAAAGACTTTGATTCATCAGTTTCAGGGACTCCTGGAATTATTTTAATAATATCTATGAAATCAAGGGAAACTTTCCACTTATCAGTTATTTCTTATTTAAATAAGTTAAATAAAGCTAAATTTTAAAGCAACAGCTGCCACACCTAAACACCTTGCTCTCCTTTAATCTACTTATATTGCAAATTGTCTCTTTCTATTACTCCTGCCAGTTTAGTCCAGGTATACCTCTCCCTGCCTGCTTGAATATACTTGTTGTGATGGTTAATTTTATATGTCAACTTGGCTAGGCTATAGTGCCCAGTTGCCTGGTCAAACACCAGTCTAGATGTTGTTGTGAAGGTATTTTTTTTTTTAGATGCAATTAACATTTAAACCAGTAAACTTTGAGTAAAGCAGATTACCCACCAAAATGTGGGTGGGTCTCATTCAATCAGTTGAAGGCCATGTAAGAAAAGAGTAAGGTCCCCCTGAGAAAGGAATTCTGCCTCCATACTGCCTTCAGACTCAAAACTGCAACATCAGCTCCTGCCAGAACTTCCAGCCTGCTGGCCAGACCTACAAATATCAAACTTGCCAGCCCCCACAATTGAATGAGCCAATTCCTTAAAATAAATATCTCTCAATCTCTCTCTCTCTCTCTTTCTCTCTCTCTCTCTCTCTCTCTCATGTGTGTGTGTGTGTATCTCTCCCATTGGTTCTGTTTCTCTTGAGAACCCTAAGTATTAGTCTACAGTTGTTATAATGTGTAAAAATAGAATATGTTTATATTATATTACATAATCAAATTGGGCCAAATACCATATCTCACAGTCCTTTCCATCTATTCACCATAGAAATCTATTAACAAAGCTATTTTCCTTACAAGTTCTCAGTGCTATGTATGGTTGTTTTTCCTCCAGAATTTTGAAATATTGCTGTTTTGTTATTTTTATGAGATATAGTAGTTATGTTTTTTCCAGATAATAATGAATAGAAGCTTTCTTTTATTTTACAAATGGTTCTTTCATCTCCCTCCCTGGTCCTGTGGCATTTCTAATTCTCATTTTTAAAATATTACCAACTTGCTTGTTAAAAGTCTTCAATGCAAATAAAAAAGTTATTTTTCAGAGAATATTAGACACATAGTAATACCTATGTTCAAGCTTTTTTTTTTTTTTTAATTTTTAATTTGGGCCCCCAAATGTGTCATTTTCATATAATGAAGAATAAATTGTATTATTTGTTTTTTGTTAAGTTTATTTATATATATATATATTTTACATTCTACGATGTTGCAGAGCAGTTTGGGGGGAAGGGAGAGCGGGGAAAGGAGAAGGAAATAAGGTGGGAGAAGGAGGAAGGAGGAGGGGTGGGGTTGAGGCCTGTGGCACCCCCCTCATTCCTACAGGGGAGACCAGGGGCCTTCCAGCAATAGCTTGGTCATTGCTGGGCTGGGTGCAGATGTCAAGGGGGTGTGGCTGAAACTCTCACCTCCCACCACCCTTGCTAGGAAGAGCCCAGAACATTTCCTAAAGCAGCTCAGTGGTCTGGCTGGGCTGGTTGCAGGTGTCAGGGGGCCGAGGCCAAGGCCCCCAGTCCTCCCCCATCCCTGGCTTGGTAGCCCAGGGGGCTTCTGGTCCTTCAGGGTTTTATAGGTGTACTTTAGTGATGTGAGACCTTTACTAGTTAATATCAAACTTTGTCTCTAGTCTGTGGGTATTTTGTTTTTTCTTTCAGTTCTGTGTTGGATTATTTGCTGTTCCCACTACTTAAACTCTGCACTGGAACTAATTTGTGGTCCTTTGCTTACTTCTAAAATGGGGTAGCTTCCTGTGGGGACCAGCACTTGACCTCTGTGGTTGAGCTAAATTGCTGCTTTGCTGCTGATTCCCTGGGGAAGGCTTTTTTGCAGCTCAGGTGTTAATGGTTGACATTGTAGGTACTTCCAGGTCTCATGAGATCCAGTTCATGTGGGTTGTGTAGAAACTCTGGTCTGGGCCTGAATCTTTTTACCAAACTGCACCCCATGCAATTCTATATTCCTGACCAGTCTCCACTGAGTGGTCCTGTGCTGACTGGGGGGCAGGTCAGCTGCTCATGCTTTGCCCCAGTGTTCTCCTGGTGGGCCCATCTACCCCACCACACATGCTCCAAACACTTCCCATGGAACGGGCCATGCACTGGTCCCTTGTGCTGACTCACCAGACTCTTTTTTTCCATTGTCTGTGGCCCCTCTCTCCTTTGTGGGTCCACGGGAACCCTGTTAGTGGTCTTGCTGGCCTGGGGGCCACCAAGGCCCTCTTCTCCCCTGCCACCTCCAAACAACTTCATCCAAAAGGCACAGCTGCGGCTTTTGCCAGGTCCTGCACCATACACTCAGTAGCTCCAGCCTGGAAGTGGCCAGGGCTCGAAATGGTCAGAGCGATCCTCTCTCTCTCATCATGGCTTCTCCAGCCTTTATAGGTCTCTCCTCCTCTTCCCCTGATCTCTAGTGGCCCCAGCTTGGCTGTCATTGCTTTTTAATAGTTGTGAATTGGTTGATTTGTGGAAGAGAGTCATGCTGGGGACTGTCTATTCTGCCATCTTGACTAGAAGCCCTAACAAACTTTTAAAGTGAGCTTCACCTTCAGGGATCTAACAGCCTAGGTTGTGATGAAGGGCTAAGTAGTCAACAATGACTACACAGCAGGGAGACAGATACTGAAATGGGGTAAGCACTAGAGCAGGGAGGCAGCTAGGGGTGGTCAAAGCAGGCTTTCCCTAGAAAGGAAATCCTGTAGTCCTGAAAAATTACTGGGAATTAACCAAGCTGAATATAGATGAGCAAGAACTTTTGATTCACCTGATAGAACTGTGTGAGTCCTCAGGATTCTCAGCTGTCTTTGGATGGTCCATCAAACAGACCTAGCTTCATTCTTCACAAATGCTACCATCTGCTGAGCACCAATTACATAGTCATGCTGCCCATAGTCACTTCCTGCCTGTGTGTCTTTAGGCAAGTTACATGGACACAATGAGAGCTTCAGTTTCCTTTGAGGCAAAATTATGGAGAAATAGTACCTAACTCAGAGTGGTAGTAAAGATTCAACATACAGCATCTGCAAATTGCCCAGCCAATACCAACCATAATTATGGTTATGATTCAAAGTTCATGACCTTACCCACATTTTTAAAAAATGCTTTTGTGTTCACACCTAGAACTGTGGGGCTACATCATGTTGATGGACCTCAAGAAAGGAAATTCAACTCTTTAAATGTATTCCAAACATTTACTCTGTCCCAGACACTGGGATACAAAAGGAATATGGCTGGCCCTTGCCTTCTTGAAGCTAGAAGGGTAGCTTTAACACACTGAACTTAAACCTTTCACCCTTTAGCCAAAACCATAAAAGCTAGTGTGAAAATATTCAGTGCTGACCAACCATAAATGGTGTGGATAAGGTGGTATGATGTCTTGCTCTTGAGACCTGAACTATTACTGTCTGTGCCTCCACCCTGCCCCCAGAGTGTAAGTTCCATCAGAGTATGGTCCCTGTTTGTCTTGTTCACTGCCACATCCCCCAAACCTGGTGCATTATATGTACTCAGTAAATGTTTGTTAAATGAGTGTTTGTGTAGCATTCTAAACTACATTCATATGCACTAATAATAATAAAAGCTAACATTGATTAGTGTTTCCTTCTTACCTGGAGGTAGATGATGATGATGATGATGATGAAGATAGATGATAGATAGATAGATAGATAGATAGATAGATAGATAGATAGATATGTAGAAAATCATTAATTTTTACTACAACATGAAAAGTAGATGTTTATTAGCCTCTATTTCAGCTGGGGCTTGGAGATGTAAAGTAACTTGCTTAAATTTCTAAGAGGCCAAGATGAGATTTGAATATTGGTCTCTCCCACTGCACGATCAAAACTTTCTACTCCCTCAATATTTTATTTAACCTAATAGCAACCTAGTTGATAAGTATTATTATAAACCACACATTGTTCATTTGTGTGCCATTATAGAGCACCCAATAACATGCAACTCATGGTCCTAGGAATTCAAAGGTGAATACAACGTGACCCCTTCCTTCAAGAGCTTACACCCTGGTGGGGAGCCTGCTGAATGACACAGTCATGTACCAGGTGCTGTAAGAGGAACACCATAGAAGTCTTTACAAATGTTAGGGGTCGTGAAAGATGGGTAAGTGGAGAAAGGTTAAATTACGTGCCCAAGGTACACTGCTAGTCTGAGAGGTCTTCAAAAAATTCGTGGAAAGATGCATATTATCTTTTAATTCCATTTTTTCCACGAACTTTTGAAGTATCCTTATATGTTACAAAGCTCAGAAGTTGAACCCAAGTTGGCCTGGCTTCAATTTGTGTCCTTCTATTATACCATGGTGCCACAGGTCACTTTCTAACACCATCACTTAACTTCTCTGAGCCTTTTTTCTTCATCTGTAAAGTGGAAATCTAAATATATTTCCCTCAAAGGGTTGTTTATAGGCTTTGCTCAATGTAAAGTACCCAGAACTATGTCTGGCAAACTAAGTGCTCAATAAATACCTATAATAATTATTAGACTAGTAGTCATCTTAACAATGCCTTAATGACATCAGAGCTACCTTTACAGCATTGAGGATCCCATAGGATCACACAGTAACTTAAAAGAAGAATGAGATCCACTGGCTCAGAGAAACTCGTAGATTTTAGTGAACAGTGCTCCATCAGAGGTAGGTAATGCCTGGCCCAAGCCTGACATGGGGAGGA